ATCAGTTCACCCTATCAGTACCCGTCAGTGCTGCCTATCAGTGCTGCCTACTCAGTGCCCGTCAGTATTGCTTATCAGTGCAGCCTCATAAACACATATCAGTGAAGGGGAAAAAATTACCTGTTTGCAAAATTTTATAACAGAAACAAAGAACAACTTTTTTTTAAAACTTTTGCTCTTTTTTTAGTTTATAGTGCAAAAAATAAAAATACCCAGTGGTGATTAAATACCATCAAAAGAAAGCTCTTTGTGTGAAAAATGATAAAAATGTCATATGAGTACAGTGTTGCATGACCGCACAATTGTCTCAAAGTGCAACAGCACTGAAAGCTGAAAATTGACGTGGGCAGCAAGGGGGTAAAAGTGCAAGTAGTTAAATATCTAAATTATTTTGTTTCTTTAAAAAAAAGCATATAGATTGGACTTTCTACTGTACTAAAAAGAGTAGCAGCCAAACCCAGAGTCTATCTACACTGCCTGCTATACAACTATAGTATATCTAAATCCAAAACCCCTTATAGCTAGGAAAAACCATGTGTTATTTTTGTCTTTTTTCTGTCTTAGTCTAGGTTCATATCTATGCAGGTTGCATTTCATGCATTTCTGCATTGTGTTTTGTGTTGCGTTTTTGCACTTGAAGTTTTGTTGCTTTTTTGCTGCGTTTATGATGCGCTTTGCATTTTTCTTGCTGCAAGGCAGACTTTAAATGCAAAATGCATAAAAACTGCAGCAAAAACGCAATACATGCTTTTCTGCAGTGTTCCCATTGAAGTCTATAGAACAAAAAACGAAGCGTTTTGCTTTAAAAAAAGTCTCTGACCCTTTCCAAAAAAACGCACCAGGTGAAAACATGGAGATGTGAACCTGTCTTATAGGAAATCATGTTAAAAGTATGTAGTGCATTTTGATGCATTTTTTATGTATTTTGGTTTTTATTCTGCCAAGCAACAAGTTGAAAAAAAAACACAAAACCCATCAAAAACACATGTCCAAAAAAAACGCACCACAAAAAGCACTGCAGAAATGTATCATACGCAAACTGCATAGGTGAAACAGTGCAGGTAGTGAGAGGACACTTCTGTAGAATGAGGGGAATCATGTCTTAAATATCTTAAATATCACCAGAATATTTGTCTCCATTGAAAGATTTTCCTTCTTTTGCTGTTCTGGTGACATGCTGTAAAATGTTGGGTTTCACATTACTATGATGGTGGTCACCTTTTAGATATATCAGTCCAATTATACTATGCCCACCAATTGAAGAGGTGCGTATAGGTCCAAAATACCACTACACTTCATTCATGAATTTGCCTGCCTAAGGCTCCATGTACACGGGACACTTCTAAACGATGGAAACTGACTGCTAGAAAACGTAGATTAAAAAACATCTGTTTAGCCATGTTTGCATAACGCGTTTATGCACGTTTATGAGCGTTTGCGCTTAGAAGCATTTTTTTAAGATAACCTCAGGAGACCTTCCAAAATGCCCAGAATGCACTGAAAAACAGTAAAAAATTAACTATTTCAGACACTTTGAGAGAAATAGAGAGAGCAGAAGCAGAGAGAGCAGTATTTGTTGAGATTAGCTGTCTTTTTATTTTTGTGGTGTTTGGATGTGTTGCAACTCATTTTTGTGCAGAAATTATTGCAGCAGTGTCTAACATATTTTTCTTCATGCAAAACCTCAAAGTGTACCAGGTCCATTTGAGTACCGGGAAAACACTTTGCATGCATTTTCATGATGAAAATCTAGAAATGGAAGAGTTAAAAAAAATGTTCTAACGCCTATAAACACGGTTAGCCGCGTTTACAAGCGTTTTGAATTTGAAACACTGATAAATCCTACTTTTCTGCATTTTCAAAATAATCTCAACTGCCTGTAAACAACTAAACGATGATGTGTACATGGACACATAGGAAAACATTAGGGTGAGTTCAGGGGCTGCTGTAAAAAAATGCTGAACAGCTCCTAAACGTGAGTTTATCAACTACAGTGTACATGAGCCCTAATAAGATTGTTTTTAACTTTATAGCACTAATCAGTCAATACAGTTTAATAAATAATTGCACTAATTTAGACTAGATGATACATGTATAGCTTTAACACCAAAAATGTTATATGCATGCTTGCTTTCACATACATCACAATCCTTCTGAAATTACGATCAGATTGGCCCTGTTCACAAATCACGTTAGAATAACTGCAGGTTGAAATGTCCCACTGCTCTCAGAAAATCCTCAGGCTGGCAATAGATCAGGCAGACAAAAACATGAGAGTGCAGCATGCATTATATTATGTCATTATGATCATGATAATAAAGATAATGGTAAGGCCCATTGTGTCAAAAGCAGAGCTTTTATTGAGCGGGAACGTGGGGGAACACAGTTCCGGAACCTTCATCACTGAATGTATGTAATGGCAAGGGGTGCTGGGGTGTACTGGAGCGTCTGTTGATGCTGGCTGCTGAGGAATCTATTGGTGCAAAAGAAGATCTATTTTTGCTGAGGAGGGTCTATTATTGCTGGTGGGGTCTATTGTTGCTAGGGGGTTTTATGTTGTTGGGTGGTCAATTGTTGCTGTGAGGGATCTAATGTTGAAGGAGGGGGTCTATTGTTGCTGGCTGCTGGGAGATCTGTTGTTGCTTCTGGGAGTCTATTGTTGCTGGGGTGGATCTATTGTTGCTGGAGGGGTATTTTGTTGTGGGGGGTCCATTGTTGCTGGGATGGTCTATGTTGATGGGTGAGTCTATTGTTGCTGACTATTGGGGGATCTGTTGTTGCTGCTGGGAATCTATTGTTGCCGGAGGAGTATTTTTTTCTGGGGGTCCATTGTTGGTGGAAGTCCTACTGCTGCTGGGGGGATCTATTGTCACTGGCTGCAAGGGATCTATTTTACTGCTTTTCTTGTTTTCATTACCAAATTCCATACAAATTACTTATCACCACAAAAATGATGTCTGTATTCTATAAAAGGGGCAGTAATGGGAGGTGGTTAGCAGGCTGAACCAAGGAACGGTGCTCTGAGGTGGGTAGGGGGTGGAGACAGGAGGTAACTCGAAAAGGGGGAGTTCCTGCACCTATTCTCTGAGAAAAAAAGCCCTGGTCAAAAGCATGTTATAGCAAAGGTGGAGTTATACACAGCTCAAAAAAAATACGGGAACACTTTGAAAACACATCAGATCTCAATGGGGAAAAATATCATCAAAATATGCTCTCATCTGTGAAAAGCAAAGGACACCAGTGGCGGACCTGCCAATTCTGGTGTTCAATGGCAAATGCCAATCAAGCTCTATGGTGCCAGGCAGTGAGCACAGGGCCCACTAGAGGACGTCAGGCCTTCAGGTCAGCCTTGTGGAGTCTGTTTCTGATTGTTTGGTCACCAGTAGCCTGCTGGAGGTCATTTTGTAGGGTTCTGGCAGTGCTCATCCTGTTCCTCCATGCACAAAGGATACTGAGTCTGATGATGGGTTAAGGACCTTCTACGGCCCTGTCCAGCTCTCCTAAAGTAACTGCTTGTCTCCTGGAATCTCCTCCATGCTGACAGGAGTAAATACCTTCACAAAAATGCAGTATGGCACTTACTTTGGGAATTAGCCATTCTGAGATGTTTTGCTCCTTGGTATTTTCTGAGTTGATTATTTTGGGTGCCTTCAAAGGAAAGAAAATGAAGACACTTATTTTAACATAAAATTCCTTCACACAACACTATGTATATACGGTATTTGCAGCAAACTATTGACATTACACATGTGAGAACATTTTAATACATGCGAGTTAGGATTGGAAGGAAGCTAGCATGACTTACCTCCTGAACATTCTTTCTTGCTCCCCTGTCTTGGTCTTGGGTCAATTTTCGATTTACCATCGATTGGACAAAAAACAAACAAACATGTTTGTACCAAAATCAGGACCTATGCAAATGTAGGTGTGATTATTAAATCCACACTTACATTTGACCATGGATGCTTTAAGGATGCAGCAGATATGCTCCATGTTTTTGTACTGTTGAAGAGGAAATAATACAAGCACATTTAAGAACAAGAAAAAAACATTTTCCAATGGTTGAATTGAAATGCATATTGTTGGTAAAGAGAACCCCCCCAAAAAATGTAATACATATGCATGTATATGCAGTATGTACCTCTGCTGTTGAAAAGTCTGCCTCAAAGTTGGATGTTTGGAATTGTAAATAAAAAAACAATCTTGGTAAGATTACATGTAATTTGTGCTTATCTATTTTTCCTATTCTAAACTGTATCAAACAACGGCACAGCAAACATGTTGGGGCATGCTTCACTCAAGTCCTAAAAAATGGGGAAGAAAGGCTGAACATTTACAGTGGGCATTTTTGGGGAAACAAGCATGCAATATGTGTACAACAAGCAGTGAGGGACTCAGCAGAAGTGTACAGGCTAAAAAAAGGTCTAAGCATGCAAACATGAACCAGAATAGAGCACAAACATGTGCCACAAACAACAAACTATGAAGCCGAAATGATGCTATGTGCTCCAGGAGCAGGAAATGTGCTACAAATAAAACATGAACGTGCATAACTGCTAAGACAAATGAGGCTTTTGAAAGAATTGAAAGTGCTTTACCATGTGCTCCACAAGATCCAGAATGCTTGGCTTCTCTTATGCTGAGTTCTCCTCTGCCATCACTCACTTGTGCCTGGCCCTGAGAAGTATACAGCGGGAAAGACGTTCTGCCCAGTGGATATGACGACATGCCTTACATACCACAAAACAAGTCAAAATACAGCATGCAGTATTTTAGAAGCATTATTTCATGAATGCCAACATTTTTTGGGAAAAAAGCTCAGTGGTATTTTACCACATTTGTTAAAGTGGTAAATACCACTTTGTGAATGGAGCCCACTGACACTAACTGGCACTGGCACTAACTTAATTGCCATCCAGGCAATTCTGACATTTCTACCAGACATGTAAAAATCTTTTTTTGATAGAAAATTACTTAGAACTCCAAACATTATATATTTGTAGCCTCCCTGGTGGTTTTCCCGAGTGTAGCTCGGGGTAAAGTTTCAGTACCACAAGCAGTAACCCCGAGCTACACTCGGGCTTACCATGCGGCTCTGCTCCGGGATCTGTTCTTCTCTTACCTTGTCCTGCGCTCCCGCAATGTCCCTCCTGCAGTGTCCCCTGTAATGTCCTCTGACGGATGCCGGCATCTGTCTTCTGGGTTCCGTTCCCTGCGAGCATCGGGACGTACGGGATGGAGTGGCGGGAAATTTGAAAATGACAAAAAGTGACATTCACCAAATTCACTAAAATAACATAGTAAAACATTACTGTATCAAACCATTTCACATACAGTTTGTCCCTAGTGCTTTGTCCTGTGCCCTGCCTGCATTTTTACTGTTCTTTCTGCCTGGAAACTGAGAAACGTCCATGGCATACAAAAAGCGTCCCTTTAGGTCAAAATCAGTTTTAGACCAGCTAGAGAACAGCGATAGTAAATTAGAACTACTTGCAGAATTGAGTGATAATGATTCGTGGGGAAATTCGTCATCAGACACTGAAAACGATTTTGCGACTTTGCTCAGTGATGTGCGAACTTGGTGCTATATTTCAAATTTCAGTGTTTTTTGTTTGATTATATTATTGAAATAAATGTATTATTATAATATTGTTATTTTTTATGATTACACAGGAGGACTGGCACTGGAGTTATTGCTCTCACTCTCACATTTGCGACCATACCTCACATGTGTGGTGCAATTGGCATTTAGATATGTGTGCGGGACCTAAGTGCACTTTCAAGTTTGCACATGCGCATGGGAGGATGGGGGCACATTTTTTTAAATTTATATATTTTTTTTACACTGTTCCTTTATTTTTTTTTATTTGAACTTTATTACTATCACAAGGGATGGACAACATCCCAGTGTCCCAGTGTTGCCTGTAAAAGTGATCAAGCAGTTGTATAGCCACTCGGATCACTTTTACAAGAAAGTCTGCAGCTGCAGCCATAACCATGATATCACCATTCCCATCCAAGGATATATATATATATATATATATATATATATATATATATATATATATATACAGTGAGGAACAGAAGTATTTGAACACCCTGTGATTTTGCAAGTTCTCCCACTTAGAAATCATGGAGGGGTCTGAAATTCACATTGTAGGTGCATTCCCACTCTGAGAGACAGAATTTAAAAAAAAATTCAGGTTTGCACACACTGCAACAGGGATTTTGGCCTACTCCTCCGCACAGATCTCCTCTAGATCTGTCAGGTTTCGGGGCTGTCGCTGAGCAACACGGAGTTTCAGCTCCCTCCAAAGATGTTCTATTGGATTTAGGTCTGGAGACTGGCTAGGCCACTCCAGAACCTTGATATGCTTCTTATATATATAAGTACCTGAAATTAATAATTAATTAAAGTTGTTAATTGGTGTGCTAATGTAGGCTGATGGTGCTTGCAAATTGGACAAGTTGAAGCATCAGAGCCAGATGAGTTTGCTATAAATTGAATATATGGTCTGTGTAATATTTTCAATCTAGTTTCTCTCCAAAATTCATTTTTAGGCACCTTTTATTCAGTACTATAGCTTTTGAGTAAATTGTTCACCAGATCTTCAGTAGGAAAGTCTATATTCCAGTTTTCCAGACTGGTGTCAGCCACAGACTTTGTATATACAGTACATTGTTCAGTGGCTTGTGTAGATACAAACAGAAATGGTAATAATACTTATTTGGGCATACCAATGTTGTTTTCAGCAATGTTTAAATTTACATTCAGCCTCCTAGTGTATGTGGAGTGCATGCTAAACTGGAGACATGCCTCTGGTGATAACTGTCACAGTTACCAGTGTGCTTATATCACCTCTTATCCAATCTTTCAAGCCCTAAACAGGCTGGTGTCATTAGCTGGTCACATGATCAACACCATGGCAATGTGTTTTCTAAAAATCTTATTTCACCTCTTTTTCTTTCTGCACAAAGGAAGTTAAATACAGTATCTGTAACCTCACTTGATTAATTATGAGTACCATTACAAGCCTGTCTTAGGCATAATGTGAATTAAATCTAACACAGTGTAATCACTACAAGACTCATTATGATAGAAATACTATGAATCTTTCCCACCATGATATGTAATTCATATTTTGTACATTAGAAATGCTGTGCAATTTGCCATCACAGCAGTACAATTAGAATAGCTTTTTAATGACAAAAGTTTCAGAGTTACAAATTTCCATTCCAAAGGTGCAGCTCTTTGAATTAAGAGTTATTCAGCTGTGAAAAAAATATATTATTACTTGTACACATAAATTTCATGATTTCACAATAAAAAGGGATGCTATAAAGTGTGGATCTCTGAATTGCTGAACAGCTTTATTTAAATTATACATGTAAACTTTATGGAAAAGCATATCAACTGATCATTTTCCCACTGCCATTCGATGCATATTAATTTTATGCTCCAGTTCTCCTGCTTTTTGTACTGTTTACTGCTTTTGTAAAGTATAAATTCCAAACTGTAATATCATTACCATGTATAAATTAACTTAGATGGACACAGCCATCTTGGTAGCAGAATTAGAAATGTAATGTCAAAACAAAAAATTAATTGAAAAATTCAAGTCTTTAATGCTTTCAGTACTTCGCCAAGTATAATAAAGATGACAATATTGTTGAGGTTTTTTTTTTAATTATTCCTTTGCCCATAATAACAATCAGATGGCTTGGCATTCTGAATCTGGAACTTAATTATTTCTGTGAAAGTAGGTGCAGTGTTTTCTACATGTTCTAGGACTCTTTATACTTGACAGAATGATTACAACCAACAGTCAGGTAAAATATTAATGCAGGTGAGTTTAAATCTTTCATGATGATTACATTCATGCATTAATAAAAATTAGTCCCTCAGTGCCATAACATAGTGCCATCTGAATTAATCCATCAGCAAAAAGCTTTCACAATTCACTTGATAATACCACTAGGTTCATCAGTTTGTGGATATAGATCTTTCCATTAAACATGTTCATTTTGCCCAATTGTGTATGTACTATATAGTGTATACCTGTGAAGGAAGGAGCTTTGGAAGACATTCTTCATTTATATTTGGAAAAAAAAAACATTAGCAATTGTACAGGAAAATCCAACTTAGCCAACTAATTCTTCTGCTGAAAATGGTCATTGAGGAGATGTCTGAAAGGAATGGGAGTGACCATATTCATACTGCTGTTTCCTGATCCAGGTAAACGTCCCATCAAGGTGATGGTCATCCTTATGTCTGTGGACCCTTATAGAGATTATGACAAGAGATGAGCCTAATGCACCTGGGTTCAGTTCAAAGCAGGTTTGCAGAACATTATTAAAGTTTGGGTGAAAAATCCAAACCCTGCTGAAGTCAATAGTAGCCAAATGTTAAAGAACTGTAATGGCCATTTCTAGACTAGTGGATGAGGTATTTTCAAACAAATGGCATGGACACTGTCCTGTGTAACATGTACCAAAGCAAAAATAAACAGTGGGGGATTCCCTTAATCTATACCAGACCCTTATCTAGATGAGGGTCTGATATTGATGTTAACGGAGAACCTCCAAACAAAACCAGGTAATAAAGTGACCATGAAATTACTTCCATAACAGGAGAACTGCACATTATATTTTTGAGATTTAATGTCTCTTAGCTATGATTTGGTTTATATTATTGAAATTCCTTTGACCATGAGTGAAAGCTTTAACACAACAACAGACATTTATTGGTAAATTGTATGGAGGTCTAAACTAACACACAGCAATCTATTTACAGAAAAAGAGAAAAAATAAAAGATTAAACAAAGGAATTATATAATATAATACTCATAACCTTAATGCACAAACAGCAAGACAGACAACACATAAGACAAGTATATATAACTTCTAAGTGCCAGAAGGATGTCCTGATATCTACCCGCTGTGTAGCATGGGGGCCTCTATGATCTTTGGATCTTCTCTCTACTGTCTCCTCCCAAGACCTAAGCTTTTTTAGAACTATCTCTCATAGACTTGCATGGGACCATCCTGATTGGTGGAACTATCTAATCTATCTACTCAATCTGGCACATCTCAATCAGAATTGGGCAATTTCCCTATCCCCTGTATTTAGCATAACTCAGCCCCTCACTAACACTTCCCTTTTTGGTGAGTAAATTAAGTATGCCAGCTCAAAGCCTTTTTTGGAGAGAACATTAGGTATGCATGATCATACCCTGGGCAAATTGTGCATTTCTGGACAGATGGTCACCCTCTTTGCATATCTAAAGGAGAGGGTTCTTTGAAGTGGACATAGTAAAAACAAAAGATATTTAACCGCCTCCCGCCCACCATATAAGGAAATGAGGGGCGCAAGGCGGTTCTCTCGTTCTGGGAGGACGTCATATGACGTCCTCCCACTCTAACCATGAGTGTGTGTCCCCTGGGACACAGCGGATCATCGATCAATGGAAAGAGCCGAAGACGACGGCTCTGTCATGTGATCAGCTGTGTCCAATCACAGCTAATTGCATGTAAATAAGGAAATGCCGGTTATCAGCATTTCTCTCTTCACAAGCTGTCACGCTGACAGCTCGTGAGGAGGGGAGAGCAACATTACTCAGAGGGGATATGTACACTGATCATCAGGGCACTGATGATTATTGTGCCCTGATGATCAGTGAAGCCCCAGCAGTGCCACCTGTCAGTGCCCATCAATGCCACCTGTCAGTGTTCATCAATGCCACCTGCCAGTGCCCATCAATGCCACATATCAGTGCCTACCAGTGCACATCAATGCCACATATCAGTGCCCATCTGAGCTGCCTTTCACTGCCACCTATCAGTGCTAGTAAGTGCCACCTATCAGTGTTGCCAATCAGTGCCACATATCAGTGCCAGTCAGTGCTGCCTATCAGTGCCAGTCAGTGCTGCCTATCAATTGGCATCAGTACCGCCTATCAGTGCCAGTCAGTGCCACCTAACAGCACCAGTCAGTGCCACCTATCAGTGCCGCCTATCAGTGCCATATATGAGTGCTGCCTTTCAGTGCCCATAAGTGATGCCTGTCAGTGCCAATCAGTGCCACCTACCAGAGCCTCCTCATCAGTGCTACCTATCAGTGCCCATCAGTGCAGCCTATCAGTGCCCATCACTGCAGCCTCATTATCGCACATCAGTGAAGGAGAAAAATCACTTATTTACAAAATGTTATAACAGAAACTAAGAAAAAACGTTTTTTTTTTTCACAATTTTCAGTTGTTTTTGGTTTGTTTAGCAAAAAATAAAAATCCCAGAGGTGATTATATACCACCAAAAGAAAGCTCTATCTATCTCGAAAAAAGGATAAAAATTTCATATGGGTACAGTGCTGCATGACCACACTATTGTCATTCAACGTGTGGCAGCACTGAAAGCTGAAAATTGGCCTGGGCAGGAAGGGGGTATAAGTGCCCAGTAGGCAAGTGTTTAAATGGCCTGGTCTAGATAATTACATTGGCCCCGTAGAGTCTGAGATAAGGTAACTAAAGGATAAGTTCACCTTTAGGAACATGTTCATGTTCCACCAATTCTTAAGGTGGAACATGTACATATTCCCAGTGCTGCAGCCGCTGCCCGCTACACCCCCCTCCCTGTGACAGAAGTACTGGGAGAAGTTCCCTGTTCTAGCTGTCAGTATTTAAAAATAGAGCGGCCATGCTGGGCTCCGTCCACATGGCTGAGTCATTCATGCACAGTGTTCTGTGAATGAATGAACTACAACTCCTGACTCTTAACGGCTGTCGGCTTGTAGTTCTCAGTGAACTACCATGGCGCTTTGGAGCGCCATGGTAGGTGATTGATTCTTTGTGTCAGTATATCTGCTTGCCTGTACATCCCATACGGGCAAGCAGATATACTGGTAGATCTGCAGGAGACCTGCATGGAACCAGAGATCTGCTGATTGCTGGTGCAATGCATTACAGGCTACTGCAGCCAAAAATAATAAGTGTACATTTTTCTAACTGCAAAAAAAATTGCATTTGTTATTTTTGTGCAAAAGTGAACTTATCCTTTACTTTAATTGTTGTCCCATCTCACATACAGTATTAGGACTGGTAAATAATAGAGCATTCTCTGTGGTACACACATGTTCAATTCATCAAAACATTCCTACACTACTAAGTTATCTAATAAATCAATTACTAAAACTGGAACCCTTGTTCCCATACATATATGTACAGTATACCCATATTAAACCAATATCTAATATGTCTAACTTGTTAAAAATATAGTTATACAAATATCAATGTAGGATATTAGGAGTCGCTAGAGATTTGGGTCCCCCTATAGTCCTGCACAGCAAGGGAACACGCATTTCCCATCCAGACTTGCATCCAGGAGACAGTAACCAATCCTTGAGCTTGTTTTTTGGGATTTTACTAGGGGAATATGAACTTGGGTAGGGTAAGAGGTGTATGAGATGCCCAAGGGTAATGGTAACAGAGGATAGTCTTCCTGAACTATGTAGTCTTTACAACAAACAATTTCTTCCAGAGAGCTAGCCAGAAACTCCTGTAGTACTACTCCAGACCCCAGATTCTCCTAATCCAGCTGTTATGGGTGAATCCCTGGGCAGTAGATCTGGTATCTACCACTCCAAGGTTGAGACAGTCCTGGATAGTAGCTAATCCTTCCCCTTACTGGCCCAGGGAGTGCAGGTTTACTCACTCATTCTTTCTCCTATGCAGCTGCTGGGTCGGTGGCTGCTACCAGGCCTTCTGGGAGGGTCGCTCCTTCCGTACTGCACAGGTGGTCCTTGCTCTGGGGGGGGGCTAATGAAGTCCTAAACATTCCTCTTCCAAGCTTCCCTACCTGTAAGTGAGCCCCTCCTATCTGGGCTCTCTCCAAGCTTCCCTACCTGTAAGTGTGCCCCCTCCCATCTGGGCTCTCTCCCAGGCTTCTGCTCTCCAGCCAACTTTCTCCATCCTACAACTGAACTCTCCCTCTCCTGCTGAGCAGGCTCTGTCACTTTTAAGGACTACCATGACCCCATACCAAGCCTCCTGTTGGGGGTTGGTCAGGATACCTCAAAAGTGCAGACCAGCCACTCCTTACCTACACCTACTGCTTCTAGAATTTTCCCCAAAGTTCCAGTGCAGGGGAAGTCTCACAAAGCTGATCTACAGAGCCTCTCAGCTGTGACCACAATTTGAGCCCGCTCTGACTGTTACACCTGAGCTGCTACTCAGCCCCTATCTAAATAATCAATTGCAGCTCCCCTAGCTATCTAGGAGGATGCTACATCAATTTACAGCTGCTAATGGAGATTATACATAAACCCCCCATAAGGCAACATCCAATTCAATGTTAGAAAATACAATATGGAATAATACATGCAATGAGTCATCCATTTGTGTGAAAACTTCAGCTACTGATGTCTGTAAATAGTAAAAAGGAATCTACAGTCAGCTGCTAGAACTTTAAAAGCAAAGTAATAATTCAGTACCTGTCCAATAGAAATAGCAAACCAGGGGCGGACTGACAACTCATGGGGCCCCAGGGCAATATGGGATTTTGGGGCCCACGTTTCCTTGCCAACACCCAAAAATGCCTATGAAAAAGCCAATGAAAGGTACCAGGGGGCATCTCATGGAGCCCCCTACTGACCCTGGGCCCTCGGGCAGTGCCCGAGTGCTCGAATGGTCAGTCCGCCCCTGTATCAAACTCTTTGTTGAAATAATTCACTAATAAGTGCCAGCACTAGTAAAGAACTAACAAATAAATACATAGTATTGTTAAAACATTTTATATATTTTTCAAACTTGTTTCAAATTTAAAAATCACAATGGGTAGAATTAACAAAGAGTAGTGTAAGCAAATTGTTTATATCACTCTTCCAAACATAAAAAATGGTACAGATGCGGCTTCTAACTAACAAAGGGGTGCAATTAACAAAGTGACTGATACAATACAGCATATGACACAGAGAATGAAGAGGCTGAAGCTGCATTCTCCAATCTTTCGGCTCATCCCCAGTCCTGCCCCCCCATCTCAGATTAGAGCCGGAGGGAAGAACCCTGCAGGCTCTTCTCGTGTAAAGTAATGTCTGCATGGATGGAGAGAGGAATGAGCTGTTTGCAAACAATAATCTTGGTTGCTTACACAGATGCTTCTGATTAAAAACCCTCTTTGTCCTGCAAATAATTTTCCAATATAGGTTCACACAGGAAAGTCCTTTTTTGAGTCCATTCAGGTTTCTTATTTTAACTGAAGCCCTAATGAAGGGGGAGTATTCTCTAGCTTCCAAAATGTGTTAGCTATTTGTATAGTGCAAACCACAAAAACAATTTGAAATTATTATTCAGTCTGGTTCTTCTTGATGTATTTTTTTTTCAGTATACCCTAAATCAGTGGTCTCCAAACTGTGGCCCAGGGGCCGTATGTGGCCCTTTGCTCGCCTTTATCCGGTCCTGGGAGCACTTCTTCTCCCACAGATACAAGACACTATATCTCCCACTGACACCAACAATGGGGTATAATTCCTGCTACTGACATCAACAATGAGGCACTATTTCACCTATAGACACCAATGATGGGGCACTATTCCTTCCACTGACACCAATGATGGGGCACTTTTCCTCAAACTGACACCAATGAGGGCACACTATTCCTCCCACTATTACCAAGCATAGGACACTATTCCTCCCACTGACACCAGTGATGGAGCACTATTCTTCAAACTGACACCAACGATGGTACACTATAACTCCCACTATTACCAAGCATAGGGCATTATTCCTCCCACTGACACCAGTGATGGGGCACTATTCCTCAAACGGACACTAACGATGATACACTATAACTCCAACTATTACCAAGCATAGGACACTATTCCTCCCACTGACACCAGTGATGGGGCACTATTCCTCAAACTGACACCACCGATGGTACACTATAACTCCAACTATTACCAAGCATAGTACACTATTCCTCCCACTGACACCAGTGATGGGGCACAATATCTTCCACTGACACCAATGATGGGACAGTATTCCTTCCACTGACACCAATGATAGGACACAATTCCTCCCACTGATACCAATGATGGGACACTAATACTCCCACTGACACCAATGATGGGGCACTATTTTTTCCACTGGTAGCAATGATGGGGCATTATTCCTCCCACTGATACCAATGATGGGGTACTATTCCTCCCACTGACACCAATGATGGGACACTGTTCCTCCCACTGACACCAATGATGGGACACTCTTCCTCCCACTGGTACTAATGATGGGGCACAATTCCTCCCACTGACACCAATGATGGGACACTCTTCCTCCCACTGACACCAATGATGGGGCACTATTCCTCCCACTGACACCAATGTTGAGACACTATTGTTCCCACTGACACCAACGATGAAGCACTATTGCTTCCACTATTACCAAGCATAGGACACTATTCCTCCCACTGACACCAACGACGGCATGCTTTTCCTACTCCTAATACCAAAGAAGCATTGTTTACTCCCATTGATACCAGGCCAATTTTTACTTCCATTGGCCACAGTCTGGCCCCGCTAAAGTCTGAAGGACAGTAAACTGGCCTTTTGTTTAGAAAGTTTGAAGACCCCCTAAATCACTGATACATACATCAAGTAAAATCAAAGCAGAGATGCAACTCCTGATTTGCATAAATGTTCCTTGCCACTTACTCGACTGAGAAGGTAAATCAGAGGATCAACATTACAATTAGGCATTTAGCATTTTCAAATAGAGAAAAAACAAAACAGGCTCTGAGGAAGAGGCTTGTCCTTGAAACGCGTCAGATATTTTAGATGCCCATCATTCTCATCATTATTCAGAAACGCAGTGCAAATTGGACAGAGGGGTCCCTTATGATGTGCCTTATATTTATGCACTTTTGTGAGTAGAATACCT